GTTCCACTCTCAGTTGTCCATTTCAATACCGTTCTACATTTTAAGCATATAATGTAATCTTGAAAAATATTTTGTAAATAAATCTGAGAATAATTTGCCCCAAATTCGCTTCTTACATTTGCAGGCTTTGCGAATCAAATCGACGGACTATTCAAGCTTACTAAATCTTGAGTTTCAGCTTTTGATAACGTTGATCTTGTAGATTTGTTGAAGACACCTGTGAAATTGAATAATGGTAAGATTCACCGAGTTTATATAGATAGTATTCACTAAAATAAATATGGAGAAAATTCAGCAAATTAGTATAAAGAAAATACACCAAAATGAAACTTTTTTCAAATAGCAAATCTCAGTTGTATCATTGGTCAGATGAACCTCCAATCCCAAACTTATTTTTAATTTACGACATGTTACATTGTGAAAAATGTGATGTCGCGAGAAGCTAGTATCAGGTAATGATAGTTTTTTTGAAACGTAAAATAATGAAACCGTAATGGAATTCTGAGAGTCTCATGGAAACGGGAACCAAGGAAAGTTGTTCACACAGGACACCACTATTTATTTGCTTCTTTAAATAACTAGCATAACATAGTTCACAATATAATTATCGGGCTGTCCTGATAGACATACCGCTCTTACACGATTTATCATAAGAGTATTTGAAAGTCTTGTTTCGTCCAAATAATATTAGAACCATTATTTATTAAAATTTTCTTTTTATAATTTGACTACTTGTTTAATATGTTTAGTTCACAATGAGACTGAGTATTGACTTAGGAAAAGGCTAGCATTCTCGAAGAGAAAACCGTAGGAAATGAATTACTTTAATACATTGCACACAAAATTCACATCTGTCAATCATTCATGGGAAAATATTGTAATCAGTCAGTGCAAGTATTTCTGCACTGACTCGCATACTTCTGCAGATTGATAATACGATAACTGATCAATAAATTTGAATAATTTTCGTATGCCAAAAGAGTTCATGAGGTCAATTGGATAGATAGATGATGAAATAAAACACTCGGTGTGCAACAGTGACCATCACGAATCATGCTTTTCGTAATCAACTGCCGGCAAGCTGTCGTCTTTTAAACATACTAGGATTGAGACTTAACATATAGTGAGGGGTGGGTGAGGCTGGTGGGGGGGGGGGGGGGGGGGGGGGGGTGGGCGTGGGGGGGGGGAGGAGGATTAGTGCGTGGGTTGGTTTGAGTATGGCTAAATTCTTAACCATCACTCTTACCCACATCTACACCTATACCCACATCTACACCTATACCCACATCTACACCTATACCCACACCCACACCCTAAAAAAGTGTACACTTTATCATAAAATGGCATACAAATCGTTAGAAAACCACCCACACATATTGAAGTCACGGAAGATGATCTTTCCAATACTTTGGTACTTTCGGTTTGTTTAAGATACGTGTCGCCCAATCGATAATATCCTATAAAATATATATTGTATGATCCCACTTGTTAAGATTGTCACATTTTCGCATCAAGAAAGGTGTCAAAACACGAAAATCTGGTTTTTCTCTAAATTGTGATGATATTTTGACTCATTTTCTTCTCATTTTAGCTCTAAATACGAAATCGAAAGCTAGATTCATGTTCGGCATCGAAAAATAGTTTCAGCTACCATTTCATTTTATTCAGCGACAATCAAATAGAATACAACTAAATATTATTCTCAACAGAATAAAGAATAATCCATTAAACGACAATCTACTCAACTTATTTTGAGTCGGTTTTACTGTTTCATGAGATGTTATATTTATTCCCCAATAATTTGTTGTTGATTTACCAAACATTTGATATAATGTTTCATTAACAACCGGATTCGAATAAAACCAATCGATTCCAAACAAATTTTCTTTCAAACTGCAATTACAATCGATTGCGTCCAAATCTAAATTCAATTCTTGTTGATATAAAAATTGAACTATAATCTGATCTGTACATGTTGTCGATCCAACTACAGCATTTTTCGTATACGATTGAAAATTCGTAACATGCGTTAGATCTTTCATTTCGACAAATTTTGTTCGAATATGTTCTAATTGAAATAATAGTTGAGTTTGCTGTGCACCATACATCGGTGTATTGTAATCTAAATCGCCATTCAACATCAATGCACCACCTTCACGTGACCGAAATATTTCTGGATTGATTTGAAAATTGCCCCAATAACGTGGATTTTTCGAATACAAAATATCTTGAAATACGGATGGTATAGAATAATTATTTTTCGATATTTGTGTTTCACGACAAAGTGGGATTGGACCAATCGGTGCGAAAGAAAATTCATTGGTGACATTAACATTGATGCAAAACTCATTGAAAAAACTAGGATTCGTTTTAACATTTTCATCCAAAGTAAAGCCAACAAAATCACTCCATACTGTTACAATACTTAAAACCATGCCATCAGCCGGATACCTATCCGGCGGATCGACAAATTGTGGCGATAACGATTGTTCTACCAATGCAATCAAAATTGGCAATGCATGAGATAAAACTCGTTGATCTTCAGCAGAACAACGATATATACGAGCAATGAGAATGGCAGCAATTGGCCGAGTAGTAATAAGTTCGATTCCTTGACTGGCAATAAGTGAAAACAACCTCCAACTATTCAATCTCAAATTAGTGGTACAGAGAGGATTAGTCATGTTTGTCAAAAAGAGCATTTGTAATTTTAATGTTACACCTATAATATCCTGATCAGTACCAGTAACAAGATTGAAGGCTTTCAAACATTGAATATCATTTTGACATTTTGATAGATACATATAAAATCGATTGTTTATAGATTTGATTTGATTTTCAAATGTATCCCCCTTTTTTATTGACATAATTCCATCGAGAATTACTCCGTTGATTTGTTGTAATTGAGAATTGATCGATTGAATTGATAAATAATATTGAATGATGGCTGTACCTATAGTAGAAAAGACAACAAAATTATCGATACCGAAAGCATATTATCGTAACCAGAAGATAAGAGTAAAAATCTGGAATTCACATACGAATACGATTAGTGGCGCAGCCACCCGGATGGTGGCACCGGCAGGCATAGCTCGCCCCTCCCCGATAAGCGGCTGTGGCCCCCGATGAAACGATATTTTGTCCCATTGTAGCGCATTTCTGACTAAGCGACTAAATATGATATTTTAACAAAGCCAAGCAAGATTAGATAGTTTTTAGTGCTATCACTATGGGATTAAAATGATCGAATTACTTTTGTTGCACATGAGAAGCATCTTTTGTCTATCCTCTTATACCTTGACTGAGTCCATAGATATAAGTTGATGTTGGACTTATCAATTGCGATTGATTAATCGAATATTGAATTTGATACTGTAAATCTTGAGCAATATTTTGATTTGACATTGCATGAATTATTCTCAATGATTCATTCACTGAAGTTGGTACTGTTGTTTGAATTAATTCTTGTGCACAATCAACCCAAGTTGTCGCCGTATGACAATGAATGGATGGTTTACTTAATCCCGCTCCTCTGTATTGAAATAAATATATAATTGGATTCGTTTGATGATATTTCTCATGGTAATTATTCGAAATAATTTGTTGCAACATTGATATTCCAAATGATTCCATTACAATTTGAGAACCACCACCACCATTGAGAAGCCAATAATTGATTATATGTTTCACTGTTGAAGTATTTCGTGGCGGTAAATTTGACAAAAACAAACGTTTCATGTGTAGATCGGTGACTGGAATCGATTTTGTTGAATTATAATACAGACCATCGAATGTATTTGGATTAAATTGATTCCATTCGAGTGGACTGGTCAAATACATACATTCAGCTTGAATTATGACAGTGCCTGCGATCGTTTTATTGAATGATCCATCATTAAACGGACACGAATACCAAGACAAAGTAACCGAACATAAATTCAAAATGAAAAATAACCGTTCATACATTTGTATCGATTTTGCGTTGTTCTGCTTCTCTATTCGTTTGCGCACGTAGAGATAATAAATAAATTTCGTTTTTTTATCCGCTTGCACACGTAGAGATAATAGATAAATTTCGTTTCTTTATTCACCTGCACACGTAGAGATAATAGATAAATTTCGTTTCTTCACCGATGTGAGAACAGTTCTGGCGTATTTGTGTTGAGTATTTAAATGAGTCAAATATCTGTTCTTTGAAAGCTGCGGGACGAACGTTACGACAGGCGTTAACGATCGTTTGTTGACATAGGATATCTTAGGTCCAGACTCGAGTTTTCTAGGGTCGATTCGTTCAGACAAATGCTCCAAAACTGCTATCCTAAGTTCCAAGTACAACTCGACGAGCTGCATCGAATGGTAAAAACTGTTGCTCGATACATGTTACAGTAATAAAAAAAAACCAAAATTGCCATTGTTTCTTTCATTGCACGAACTTGCAGCAAAAGTAATTTTTGGGCCGATTCGCTCCACAGAATGTTCCACCAAAAAGTAATTGATATTTCAAGTACAACTCGACAAGCTCTATTCAACAGCACAAACTGCAACTCGAAGCATAGTACTATTAACAAGAAAATGCTCCCAGACCGCCCAAAATCCCCTTTCGGTCTACTATTATCTGGACTGATTCACTCAGGAGAATGTTCCAATAAATGTATTCTATAGGGTGTCCAGAAAATCACTAGACAAAGAAAATTTTGAATACCTCCGCCATAGTTTGATCATATGGGCTGATATTTTTACACACTGATAAAGTACTTTTCATAGTTCATATTTATAATAGAAATGTTGTCAAACATTGTTTTTAAGTAGTACAACTGACTTCAAGAAAAGGTCCATAACATTTCACTAGTTACGAAAAATTAATACTACAGTTTTGTAAACATAGCCTTGCTATTTATGGCTGAAAATTTCAGGTTACACTAAGTAGCAAGGTATATGTCTGTAATATAAATATGAGTCTCAGCGACACTTGTATGAACAATTAATTGAAAAAAGTTAGATGTCATTTATTCTTGACTGAAGGAATAAATATATTGTTTTTTCATCACTTGTGATAGATTACAGTTCTTTATTAAAGTCAATTGTAAATACTTCAAATCGATTTTTAATAATGTTTCTCTTATGAAAATGTTCTATGAACATTACTTTATCAATGATAAAGATGTCAGTTCATATGGTCGAACTATGGCGGAAATATTCAAACTTTTCTTTGTCTAGTGATTTCCTGGACATCCTATATATTCCAAGTGCTATTTTACAATGCCTATCCAATGGTGAAAGCAGTATCTCGATAGGATGCTCCGTTAATGAGGGTGTGTGGGTGTCGGAGAGGGAAGTGGGAGAGGGGTGTGAATGTGTGGATAGATATCAGTCTTCTGTCCACCCACACTCACATTCACATCCTAGTTCATCAATGCTCTACATTATTTTTATGCGACACGTCATATGAAGCGCTCTTAATATTGACCAGCTTTAATTCCAAGACATCTTTAAGTATAACCGAAGGCAGGCGACAGTTTTTAAGTTCGAACTAATGAATTTAAACAAAAAAAAGCAAGAAAAGCATTCACCTAACATCACGCTTCGATGTATTCAGAAGCGTATAAGCATATATATAATCGATTCCATTGTTACCAATCACGGGACACCATATTTCTGTAAAGATCGGTATTTATATGTGACCAAAATAGTAGCTAAGATGCAGGGTATATAACATAAAATAGAAAACTTTCGAATATCATTGATTTATATCAGACAAAATCAAGACGTGTTATTGTATGATTTGAAAATGTAAAAGAATCAAGAATTAAAAAACAATTAACTAATTTTGAATGTTTTCTAATAGTTTCTGTTGAATTTTCATTGACATTTAGCTACTAAGATATAAAGTTCATAGCAGTGTTCAATTCAACTTTAGTGAAGGTTCCAAAGGCAAAAGCAACGTCGAATAGTATTGGATAGATAGTGTTCAAAGACAGCTGAGAATTAGCAAGGAATTCCTTTTTTAGTCCGTTGATCATTAATTGCCATCTAGTTGTTTTTTGTGATCAAAAATTCATTCAATTTTTCTATTTAGTAGCATGCTTTGCTTATCCACTGAGACGTTGATAGATAGATTTTAAAGTGATGCGATTTGTATATTAGAGCTGAGCAAGCAACTGACAACATATGATGAATCACTTAGATCAGTCAGGTGTGCTTGTCTTCTGCTATACACCTAATATCAATGCCAAATCCTTATAACAAGGTCATGTTTTTTTCGCTCAGTGACCGTCTAGAAAGATTTTCTAGTATTTTTACACTTTCATACGAACGAAAAATATTCGAAGAAAATTTCAAGATAACTGGCAGTTTTCTTTTTCTTAATCTGCTCTTTACATATTTTTGCTTATCCTTTCATAGTGTGCAGAGTCTTCAAATGATTTTCAAAAAAATTAATGAAAGAATTGACATCTTCGTCTTGATTGAAGACAGAAAACGAAGATCTTTTTAAATATAGGAAATCAGCTTTTACATTGTTTGTCGTCTTAGTATACTGAAATTAGACTGCAAGTCCAAAAAGTCTCTTTCCCAAAGGAGTGAGATCAGTGTCTTGATTAATGTTTACAGTTTGGAGTTTTGCTAGGATTGCATTGCGCCGCTTCTCGGCTCTTTCTGGTGTCATAGCTGAATGCTTCGCTGGGAACATCTTGACGAATTGAGCATAATGAGGACGAAGAGTAAAATTCGCTCGTGATCCAGGCATTGTGCGCTGATCCCACAGAATATCTGAGCCAGCACGAGTGGAAATGTGACAAGCAGCATTATACAATTCTGGAATGACATCTATCTTTAGGAGAATGAATTGAATGTAGCGTCCATACATATAATTCAGATCTTTGCGGTTAGCAGCCCATTGTTTCAAATACTTATTGAAGTCGGGAACTAACCAAAAGCCACCATCTTCTTCAAGATTATCGGCAAGGTTGACCAACCTCTGTACGTGCAGCTTTCCAATTTTGTTGCAACCAGGTTCGTTATTCTCTGTGATCTAGTCTGCATTAGATTTATAGCGAAGCTTTGTCAGAAATTCCAGTTGGCGTGAGAGAAATCGTTGAACTTATAGGAATAGATCAGAACTAAACTTCAATATAAGCCCATGGATTCATGTCCAAATGTAAATTCGTCATGGCCGTTCGTTCGAGATGCTTCTTGGTGGATCGAAACATTCTGTAACGATCTTGGTTCACTAGCAGATTTTCCGTTCCCAGAATGGCTGCAAAAGCCGTTTGCCGAGCCGGAGTTTGTTGATTAAATAAGACTTGGCGTGTCCCGAGACTGGTACTACCTATAATGTCTTCTCTTGGAATACCTGTTTTATTCCAAAGCCTAAAGGAACAAAGAAGATTAAAAGGCTATTAGAAATAGAAAAACCATCTGAAAAATTAATTGAAACATACTCTGGAGTTCAAAGTTGCTCATTGTCTCTCACATGTTGTCCTACCAAGGATTCGATTACGTTTCAAATGTCTGAGATGGTGTTTGTACATTGCTCTGCAGTGAACACATTTGAAATGACCACAAAACCGTATTTCTCAAAATATGTACGAGCTTCCCTGGCTTCTGGACAGTCGTAGCTAGACAATGTGAAGCACTTTAAGAAACCATCAGAATCTTTTGGTACTGCAAGGTGTTGAAATTTGGCAGTAGAGTCCATCTTATGAATAACCTAGACGAATATTTAGCTATGAAATACTATGTTAAAGAAATTTTAAAAAACGATAGTAAACGAGTGTTAAAATATGATGAGGAAAGTGAAGCTCGCGTAAGTAATACAGTTTAACGAATCTATGATGGAAGAATAAAAAATGCCAACATGACTGTGCGCGTGCATGTTGCTCTTCGACTTGGATGCTTTCTTACTTGCAACCGTTCATACTCAAAACCAAGCTCATACCCCACACTGTCCTCGCTTTAATAACAGCTTTTCGTAGCGTAAAAGCGGCTAGAAATTTTATGTGTATTGAAACGGCGTTTTCGCACCTACCCAGGCAAAAAAACGTTAAAAAATAACCCGTTTGAACGAATTAAGGTTCTGTAATAACGGCGTTCAAACGAAATATTATCATTCAAACGCTGTTATTACGTGAGTTTTAAACAAGTTAAAACGCGTTACCATATTCCAGTGCATTAAGATGGGTATTTTTTTCGAAATTTACACATTTTTTTTGTCGTTATCGCTATCGATCTTACATGTTAAAACGTGTTTACAAGGCTAAATAGGTTTTCACTCTGTTATTTCTTTTAAATAACTCGAAATATTTTTCGCTCCTTGAATACTGGTTTAGCCGATTAATTATTAGTTCATTATAGCCTCCTTATTTAATAAAATGTCGCTCTTATATAATGAATTAGTCATGATATTTTTGTTATTTGCACAGTATTAAAGTCTCGTGTTATTAACTATTGGTTATGTAGTATAGTTCAAGGGTGTGCATGTGGTTGTGGATGTTACTCCTTCTATATCACCGACACACACCCACACCCGCCCACACACACACATCGACACCTACGCCCACATCTACACTCACACCCGCCTACACGCACAGTAGGACTCACACTTACAGGCACGCGCACACCCAAAATTTCCACAATTCAATATCAATCGCTGCTCTCCGTCAGTTTTATTTTTCTGTAAGTGTTCACTTCGTAGGCATTCTGTTGTCGAGGCACAAACAACATATTCTATCTTTTCTATTGCTGCCTTAAAGCACCAGGTTACAAGTCAATCACCTAATAGAGAACTACGCGGCAAAAGAACATGGCACAACATGTGTCGCTTCCCTTGATAGCTACCACAG